AAACTCCTGGCGGGAGGAAGGTCGGCACCTCACAGAGGCTTGGGCCAGAACTCTGGTGGCCGGCAGTCTCGACCATGGCCGGGGGATGGTACGATGGCTAAGCCACGCCGGGAGAGAGGGTGAGAGATTTTTATCTCAATCGCCCACAAGCCTCAGAGGAGATTGTTCTTGGATTATTAAGTTTACTTCAATAATTTAGCATTGGTGCGTAAGTCATGGCACGAGTTGTATTTAACCGGAGAGTACTAAGTCATAGCGGACATAATTTTTATTAGACTCCTTTATGTTCGTTACTTATTCTTTAAAGAAGTGCTTCATGCTGTAATATCCCGAGATATTATCAGTATAAATTACGTTTAATTCCGATATAGTAACGTTTTTGTTTATTATTTTCGGAATTAATTAAGTTCAGTCGGATTACCGAAATCTATTTTCGGCGTACCGTTTACGTCCGAAATAATTTTGGTAATTAAGTATTATGTTTAATTTAACAATTAAACATCAATTGAGTGATTAATTAAATTTAATCACAAGTTAAGCATTCTTAACCCTAAATAGCCGTGAGTTAAGATGGAAAATTCCCAAAATTTTCTAAGTACCGTGAGCAACTTCTTAAGCATAAAGTAAGGTGTTATTAACCAATCAAAGTGTGTAACTTGTCAACCAAAGAGTGTGCTTAGTCATCCAAGTGAAGAAGGAGAAGGAAGCAAGTGGAAGAAGGGGAAGAAGCCACATAGGGCCATCACCACCTCATCACCCCTCACGGCCCTCTATATAAGGCCTTACTTAGCCAAAATTTGTCCCACATTTTTCCCCTATAAGCTCAGCAAATATCTTCCCTTCCCTCAGCAACCAGATCGTTCAAAATTCTCCCAATTTTTATAGCAAACGCACGGCAAGAAGTTAGGCTACACCCACGGCAATCGCAAGTAAAGGACAACGCCTATTGTTCCGTTTTTAGTCGAGCGTTTAGTAAGTTAATTCCATCCTTTATGTATATTCAGGTTAATAGGTCCAATTCAGAGTGATTTGTTTGGAGATCTTTCAGAAATTAGTAAAGGAATTCATGTTAGGCTCGGTTGTCGGCGTGTATGGTTTATACGAGTTAAGTTTGAAATTTTCCGGCAAGTCCCGAGCAATTATTAGTTGTTCAGTCTTTAATTTAAGTATTATGAGCAATTAAGTGAAGTTGGTCGATGAAAAGTCGAGGATTGCCGATGAATTGGCCAAAGCCGTCGCTAAGGCCGAGTGCACATAGCGACGGGCGGCCATGAGGCATGAGCTTATATGCTGGACATAAATTACGAGCAATTTCGGTTCCTTTAGTTCTTATTTAATATTTAAGGTTCAGATAAATTAGATCGGTCGGGGAAATTGGCCGTATACTCATGTTATGGCTCGAAGTAAGCGGACTGCGCACATAGCGCATGTCCGCGGGGCCGTAGACGGCTTGCTAGCCCTATCTTTCATTTTAGTTAAATTGTCCTGACCAGTTTGGGATTTAAAGTTCAATTTATGATATTTGATAAGTGTTCAGTTCATCATGGTTGGGAGATTGTCGAGAATTATTCGAGTTTTGGCCGAGGGCCGTAGGCCTCGCACATAGCGAGTGCACCACGGCCGAGGGCCAC